CTCTCAAAGCTCTCTCTCAATCTGCTCTCTCACAATTCTCTCTCTCAATCTCTCTTTCTCGAATCTCTCTCTCAATCTCTCTTCTCTCTATCTCTCTCTCAATCTCTCTCTCTCAATCTCTCCTCTCTCAATCTCTCTCTCTCAATCTCTCTCGTCAATTCTCTCTCTCATCTCTCTCTCTCAAGTCTCTCTCTCAATCTCTCTCTCTCAATCTCTCTCTCAAATCTCTCCCGTCTCAATCTCTCTCTCTCAATCTCTCTCTCTCAATCTCTTCTCTCTCAAATCTCTCTCTCTCTCAATCTCTCTCTCAATCTCTCTCTCAATCTCTCTCTCAATCCTCTCTCTCAACTGTCTCTCTCAATCTCTCTTCTCAATCTGTCTCTCAATCTGTCTCTCTCAAAATCTCTCTCTCAATCTCTCTCTTCAATCTGCTCTCTCTCAATCTCTCTCTCTCATCTCTCTCTCAATCTCTCTCTCAAATCTCTCTCTCAAAATCTCTCTCTCAATCTCTCTCTCAATCTCCTCTCTCTCTCTCTTCTCTAAAGTTTTTCAATCGGTTCTCCTTACATATTGTTTGATTTGCATTTTAAAATGGATTGGTTTTTGGTCGCGGATCACAGAATAAGAGGATTTTATCACGCGCGCGCCCCGCTGGCCCACGCGTCCCACTGTCAGTAAACCAGTTGCATATAGAATACACAATCTCGGTTTCTCCTCCGGAGCGGTTGCTGCTTTGGCTGGCAGAACATGACTTCAATTGCTGCAAAGATGGAGGCGCTTTCAAGCCACTCTATTATATAATTCTAGCTCGTTGGTTTCACCAAGCGCTGCCCTTTGGACTGAAAAAAAAAGGAAAACAGTTGCTTCAATTTGTCAAGATGGAAGGACTTAAGTTACACGTAAGTATATCAATTTCTCTTGGGCAAATATCATGATGGCAGACGTTACAGTAATTTCCGTGGTATTTAGGTTAAATTACAAAAAGAATCCAAGGATCATAAGTCAAGGAAGACTAATAAAATGTTGGCGGTGTCATAAGGTTAGAAACGAGAATGGAGTGCGAGGGAGGGGAAAACCTGTGTAAATAGAACTTAAGAGAAACGCAATTATGTACTCTATTGCGCATCGGAAGAGACAGAAGAATAGCGCTATTATAAACGAGAGCGGCACAGAGAACGGACCGCAACTCGGTGATGATCGGATGGTGACCGGAGGTCTCGGATGGCAACATAGCAACTGTTTATTTGTTGATTTTAGAAATATTGTAATGTAACAAGTATTAAATATAGTGTGTGAAAAGGAAACAAAGATGCGACGATAAATTGGACAGGCTGAAAAGTGGAATTTAATCGGACATGAAAAGCGACGGCAAAGAATGCAGAACCAATAGGAAATATTAGTATGGGGTATATTATATGGAGTATATAAATCTGAGAAGTAAGAAGACCAAGTTTTGGAATAATCTAATAAATTTTAATTAAAAATAAAGTAGGTAATGGTATGCATGCAAGGAGAAGTAACGGGAAAATAATTGAATAACGACAGTGTTATTAATTGTTTTTGTCTGGAAGTAGTTTATAAATATAAGTGTGTTTTTCTGTGAATCTGAGAACAGAAATTACCAGTGTCACTTGATTCTGTACAGTTAATATTATTTATTGTAATGGTCCCCAAATATAACCCCGAATATCCAAATATAAAGAAGTAAATCTTGATTCGTAAGTTTTCATAATCGGAATCTTGTTTAAGACGATCTTGACCAAAGCACAAAATTTATGACAAAGGATCGAGCCTCCGTATATGAAATAGGCAATTGTCCAAAGTAACGAAGAAGTACAATAAAATATCGAAAATATAAGTTAGTTATCTATGTGTAAAATATTTGCCAGAGTAGTACGAGAAAAATTCGCCAGATATCGCTATTTACATCTGAACACTTAATGTTTTCATTTTTTCTCATGATAACAGCCGCGGAACCACGGGTAGGGAAATGAGGAAATCCCCCCCCCCCCAATTTTTCCATATTAATTTAACGGTTTCATGAATTTTAGGACAGCAGTAGAGTTTCGGAATGATCATAAAACAAATAAATCAGTTTAGTTGCCCTCCCTCACCAAATGTTCCATATATATATAATATATATAATATATATATATAATATATATATACACAACACACACACACACACACACACAGGCCCATCGGTTCTCCTAATCATTTAAGCGCAGCAGTTCAAAAGCCGCGCAAAACAGCGGCGCGCGAACCGCCGGCATCAACGAAAGAAGAAACGGGGTCTTCCGCACGCTCAAGGCGGGAGAGAAGCGAGAATCGCGTTGATGTGAGCCGAAAGTTTAGTATATTTTTAATAGCGTGTAGAAATCGGCAAGGTGGATGGCATCAGACGAATGCAGTAAAACCGCGGAAGAGTGCGAAGTTTGTATCGAAACGGTAATAAAGTATGGATTGCAACTTGAAATGTGTGTTATGAATTCGAAGAATAAGATGCTACAGTTACAAACTGACGAAATAAAATGATAAGAGCACAACTTTTTATTTAACTTTTAGTAGTTATGAGCAAAGCAATATGAGAGCAAATACATTAATATATGAAATTTTTATAGAATAAATTACAAGAGAAAAGATATTTTCTGCAAAAAATGGCTCCAAATTTTCTCTTTAAAGCTTTTGGTAAGTTGATAGTGCTAAATGCACGATCCTAAGGTGAACGTAAACGCTATATTGCTTAGTCTTTTTATTACTCCAAAAATTCCAAAAATTTAATTTTTGGACTTTTCTCTCAAGATTATGTAATATTTACATTAGTGGCAATTGAACCACATTACTGTATTATGAGTGTATGTTTTTTTAATAATGTCGTTAATACCTTGAAAACTCAGTTTCTTGAAAATTGCTTTCAAACGCCCATTTCTTAAAAATCTCCCAAAGCTATTTTTCCTTTTCTTGGTAACCTTTTTCAAAGATATGCCTAAGTTGATTTGTATGGTTTATTATTTCCTGTGTTATTTTCCTTTTGTTTTCAAAATACACCCAGAAATGTATTTTTTTTAAAAATTCCTTTAACATTGAAAGGTGCAATTTAATTGACTATGTTTTAAACAGGGAAACTAGCCTGCCATTGAAGAAGAATTAGCTGTGTACTCATTCCCCAAGAGCATATTTTTCTTCGGCATATTTTAAAAATGCGCAGCGCAACGTTCACACCTACAGGCCGCCGTACTTGCATATCCTTGTTCTTGTCGTAACATTAGCCAACGTCTCAAAACATTTTAGCTTTGAGCTTATCATACGTGGATTTTCTTGCTGGATATCGGTCTAACAGCGAAACTATCTAAGCGAGAAAGTCGACTCACGAGTTTCAGATTTGCTGCCGAAAAGAAAAGACAGCACCCATCAGAGAACATTGAGTGCGAACAATACGAATATCATGTTTGTTATTATGTCATTTCAATTTGTTAGACAGTTTAACAGTCTGTTAGCTGGTAAGAAATATGGTGATATAACCATACAAAACATATTCTCATTGTTTCGTAATTAAAATTCATCTTGTTTTGTGATCGAAAACTTGAAAATTAACAATGCGTTGTGAGAGCCAAGGGAGTGTGTAGGAATTTAAATAAAGTGTAGATGGTGAGGTAGGACACACATTTTAAAATTAATTTTCTGTCAGCTTAACACTTTGCTCGGCAAGTTCTCCACATTAACCTTCCTAAAAACATACTCTTTGTAGTGAGCTGGCACGAAACGAACTCGATATTCAAGCAGTCTGCTGCCAAAAACCCTTCCCTTTCACCTTTCTGTCACCCCCCGCCCCTATTACGAACTCACTTACTTCCTCTGAACCTACTCCCGATTCTCTCAATCCCCGTTTTGATTACTCTCCACTGATAAGTTGATGGATGATTACTCTCCCTCTACTAGAAAAAAAAATGCAGCCGTTTTTGAGAAAATCTGGTTGGAACGTTTTCGAAAATACTCCGTTTTGAGTTTTCATATTCTCAAAAACGAATAAATTTTTGGAAAACCAATCATTAGAGATACTTTGAAGACATCGCGAAGGACAAAACAAAAGTTTTTAGTGTTTTTTACGCGTAGCTCGATAAATGAACAGCTTTTGATGATCGAAATGACTAGTCAAAACAGTCAATTTTCAACATTTTTCTTCCAGCGTTCAGTACTCAATTGCAAGAGGATGAAGATAAGAGAATGGCGAATGAGTCACAGAGAGCTTTGATTTAATCAATTTAAATTATGACAATGGACGGGTCAGCGCTTACTCGTGGCATGCTGTCCAATACCGCAACAAATTTATACTATATTGAATTGATATTACGTGGCAAGACTCGGGCCATCAAGCCCGCTCTTCCGTCTGACCACGCAAATTTCTCTACGCCCCTTTCACCTACTAACGGAGACAGGAGGTATCACCAAGACGATTTGAATTTAGCTCATAGTCTTCAATAAGGCTTGAGGATCTGTCTCATACAGTAAATTTACTAACATGGGACAGCCGGATTTACTGAGTACGTACGAAGGATTTTTTTCTCCCTTAAAAATCCACGACTCCGATCGGGTTTGAACCTGTGAACTTGGGTGTAACAATTCGATACTCTAACCGTTACACCATCGCCGCTGCCAATATTTCCTGCCAACTACCTGCGCTGCCATGCCAGACATCCTTCAACAAGGAATGAAACCAAAACGCCTTTCGCTGTAAGAAAAGGACCCATTTGTCCCCGCGCCTCAATGTACGACAAATTTCAAGCATTGCAGCCCAACATTGTAGCTAACATACATAACAACACTGTGTCACACAATAATATATAAGGAAACACACAGGAATGAAATGACTCAATGCCTTTTCATTCTCCGCCACGATGTCCCTCTTTCCACTCTTTTTCAAAATCCAAAAGAACTTCGACCAATGGAAGACGCAACAGCAACCTCAACGGGCGTCGCCTCCATTTCGCGTTTCTACTCACCCTTTAGAGTCCCAAGCGGGTGGTAAGTCCAAGCCTGCATCTTGTGACCACTCCCTTCTTTTCATGACGCACCGAAGAAGACGGGGTATAGGTTGCTACTACGTTCTAACGGTTCCGCTTCTTACAGAAACAAAATGCTCATGTAACCACCGTTAGGTGCTGTGGAGCGCTCTAGTAGCAATTATTTAGCAACACAATTAGTTAGCGGCTCGTGGCTAGCTCTTGGTCAGCGTGCTCGCTTTCCACTACGTAGCCCCGGGTTCGATTTCCGATCAGGCAAGACTATAGTGTGCGTTTTCCTTGTAATGTTCCAGTACATGATGTGCTGTGTGACGATGAGTAAAATTCACTTCTCGGGTTGAGGAGACCGGAATACGGCGTGGGGATGTCTACGTGCCTCCTTGACCCACAGCCGCGAGGCAGGGATGTCGCCGGTAGGCTTGAGCCCGTTCTTGGGCTGTCGCGCCAAGCACATACAAATATACAATTGGTTAGCACCGAAAATTGCAAAATCAGCTGTTTATTCGCGCATGAAGGCAATGGGCGAGTGCTATGTGCACAAAATTAATTTAGCTGTTAATAGGTTAATGTACCATCGCAATTCACGAAGGTCTTCCGATCATTTCAAACCAACCTTAATTGTCTACTATTGTATGCATGTTTTAAGTATTATTAAGCTAACTTTGTATAAATTCGCTTTTATTGACTTTGAATAATCTCGAAATAGTTCCCGGATCCTGCTCTGCCGTATGTAAGCGTAGTTGCAGACACCCTTATCATCCCACAATCGTGTCTACTGACGCATCTTTTTTATGTGAAGAAGTACTACAGTAGTTCCCTAAAATTGCATATACTCCATGTCTAAAATAGTTTCTAGGTTTGACTTTTGAAGATGAAGATTCCTTAAATTATTGGGGGTTTTCATTTAAGCAAAAAGAATATTTATTCACAGAAAATAACGTTATTTGTTGATACATTAAACATGTTAATGAATACATACATGTTACACACTGAAACAGAGAGTGGGTATATGTTTTGAATAATTGTATAACACCAATTACAATTCACACATACATCTTTTAAACATGTAGGTACTCACATTACAGTGTACAGTACATTCAGAGCCCAGGTTTAAGGAAAGGTTTAGTTACATAGCATTTGAAAAGGCAATGTAACCCACAAATGACAAAAGACATTGTAATTTACATTTGATTACATGATATTCATAATTAAGAAATAAATACAGAGAAATTACATATATACTTGTGTTACATACTGTTGTAAAGGTAAGAGTTCAATTATTCATGAGTTACATTAATGATAGAGATAGCCACCATTTTAATTTGAAAATACATTATAAGAAAATGCTCAATTTTGTTCTCATTCTTCAATTGTTATATACATTGAATATACATTCAGAATCATTTTAAAAAATAGAAAATTCTTGTTATCTTAAAACATCCATGACCAAGTACTTAATGCCATAGATATTTCCACTATCAGTTCATTTTCTCAGTCTGAGAAACAAACTACCACTGTTACAATCTTTGATTTCCAATTTCAAGCGTTCACATTTCAATTTCTCACTTAAATAGTTCACTTATTTTGTATAGCTGAGAAATGAGTTAAGGTTTAAGGTACTGTGCCAGTGAGGGAAATACTTGGAAAGTTACCACAACTAAATTACAATTCAACTCATTAATATTTCTACAAACAAAAATTCTATTTTTTTCCATAAAAGTTTCATAAGTACAAAATACAGATGAGGTTTGAAGGGATATTTTAAGGAAACAAATTAAAAAAATACATTGCTTTACTAATATTCTTTAGCAGTATTTGTTAATCCCTTTTTAGTGCAATATCATCCACATCTTCACGTATCTTTGATAAAATAATTTCTTGTAAACATTGTTCCTTCTAAAATCGTTGTAGTAAATCAAAAAGTCAGTATCTTATCATATAAAAGAACATTTACAACAATTTTGATTCAGGGGGAAATGCTTGGAAATTAACTGCATGGATGCATCAGAAACAAGTAACAAGAATTACTCATATGTCTAGCTCTCTGCTAATTGTTGCTGCAATCCTTATTTCTAAAATGACATTTTACTACAATGTATTTTTATCTAAAGAGTATTTTCTAAAAGGGCAAAAGTTACACAAATGTGAGTTCCCATAAAGTCATCCCAAAAATATGTTTTATTCATATTGCACTTCACTTTATTTGATTGTAAATAAAAGGCTTCTGAATAGATAATGAACATTTTTCATTTCTTCAATATTCATTGTTTTCTTCTTCATAGTGTCTGATATCTTTCCCCTCAATCATGTCTTTAACTCAAAGTTGGGAAGGAAGCACAAGTTGATAGATATTTTAAAACAAGATTTTTTTCTGAAATTTATCCTTCTGATCCAAAGTAAAGATGTGCAAACTAAGTACCTATTAAATATATTTTCAGAGTCTAAAAATTTGTTAAATTAACAAAGAGAAATCTTATTTAGAAAATGAATAATATACAATATGTACATTAAATTACTGTTCATATTTTACATTTTGGTCGCCTTATTAACATTTAAAGAACAATAATACTCCATGACAATAACACTCTGCTTCATGAATATAATTGGATACAGTAATTCATGGCCTAGTATGTTTATCTACAAAATTTTAACTATATAAAAAATACCTACTTAAAAACTGGCATCACACTGAGAACCTTCAACAACACAATCAAAATAATCATGATTCATTGAAAGTAGAAATTATTAAGGTTTTCAATTACAAAAATTCTTTCAGAAAGGAATTTGGCTCAAACACTTGTAACACATAATGATAAAATATTATTGCTGCAGTAATCTTAAGAGTAACTGCTAATTGAAATCAAATCAGAATTTAAAACATTGTTTGTTTCTACTACAAATAAGCATCTCATTGCATTTGAGACTATTACTATAGGTTGTTATGTTCTATTGAACAAAGTCAGAAAAGAAATTGTTCCAAAAGGAAGATATCCTAATCTTAGATGTTAAAAAGAATGATACAATGGAATACAATGCAAATACTTACTATTTCTGAAGGAATTGAAAATTTGAAAAAAATGTAGAGCAAATAAATATTTACTTCATAGAAAAATAAGATAGTTAAATCTTAAATTATGTTTTAAAGAAATTATTATAGCATAACTTTTCATTCTGTCTTATGGGGCTAACTATAATCAGCTAAAAGTGAGCATGGTGTTGATATAATGTAGTTATGTATTTATTTTGAGAACATTCCTTAATAAACTTGTTTTTACATTTCAATTTTCATCAAAATGTTTATACCAGGCAGAATATAGTTAACGTACCTACTTTCATACCGTTATGAATTTGTTTTTGCCATATGATCAGGAACTTTAGAAGGTCAACCAAGCACATTTAAAAAAAATGTGAAAACAAAATTTTCATTTTTCGAGTATTCATGCAATCGATGTTGATTCTGATTTTATCGATATCAATTTATTCTCTAAAATAATTTCTTTCCGCGAATGCGCAAATTCTATGCAAAGGTTTCTTAACCAACAACTCCCAACTTATATTAACTTACTTATTGACGCATTAACCAGAAATTAACGCTACTACTTCTCTAGTAGTAATTCTTTTTGCAAGTTAAACGTAAGTTTAATAACGTGATTTAGTATAAACAATCCTTGGTCTGTCGTCAACCGAGTCTCAGAAAACCTAATAGTGGAATTGCATTCTGGATATTAAGCCTCATTCATGCGCATGTAACACAGACGAGTAATTTACAAGTGAATTATTTAAAAGGATTTTATAATTATAAGGCATGCAGGTCGTGAATCGATGTCTGATTTTTGAAAAAAAATAAAGAAATTCACTTGTGGATTGTCGAAGAGAAATACGTATCACGATGAGGTATGCCGCGAAACTGAGAAAGGGGTGTGAGGAGGCGGTTATAAGTTATACCTCGTACATAGCTCGTGTAAACTTTTCAAATTTATCCCTGAAACTGGACTACAACCTCGATGAAAGAAAGAATGAAGGTGTTTGTCTTGGATTCTCATGTCAGTATTTCACGTTTCTGGGAAGATGCCAGAGTCGAGTCGAATCGCGCGCCCTGTAAAGATGGCCCAGTAAATCATCAAAATACCCAACCAACCTCAAACGAACGCACGAGAGACCAGTCCCGAGTGTACCTAGGCAAGCACGGACAACAAAAGCTTCCGCTATACTTGGATTTATTCACAGCTACCTCAGACGTAAATCAGCTGTTTCAGTGCCATCCAATGGGAAGATTGATACGTCCCCATAGTGGCGTCACTGTAGTGACGTGTCAGGTCCGAATGAATAGCACCGTACAGCTAATGGGCAGGCAAGGCAGCTTTGAATACATCGCAGTATAGCCTTAGGTGTAGTCGTTCTCATCGAAGGCAGCCAAAGCCAGACGGAGCAAGCCGAGCGGAGCCGTGTCGCGCCGTGCCGCTCTGCGCCTGCTCAGGCCCCTTTCACACTGCGCCACTCAGCAGCTGGCAAAGCATTGGCTGAAATGGGGGTTCTGACCGGAGCGGCGGAGTCGTGATGGGTATTTGCGGCCGTCGATGGCGAACTCCCGCCACCACCAGCGCAGACGCGCACCGCCAGCAGAACACAGTTCTAAATGGCAGCCTTCACACTAGAAGCGCCACCGTACCGGTTTGCTGCCTGCCTTTCGCTCGCCTGAGCACACAGCGGTGTGCCTCACTAAACCTTACTAACTCGCGGTCAGTGACGGTCGGCGGTGCCTGCGCGGAAAGGGGTCCGCCGCTTGTCGGTGGCGCCGCCGAGTGGCTCCGTGCGAAGGCGGGTTGCCGAGCTGGGCGTTCCGCGCGCGGGCGGGTGCCGTCGTTGTGCTTCAGGCGTGGCGGTGGCGGCGGCGGGGGCGCGGGGCCGGTCACTAGGCGTCGCCAGCGGGAGCCACTGCGCCGTCGCCGTCTTTGCTGGCCAGCACCTCGGCGGAAGAAGTCGCGCTCGTCGGGCCGGCAGTCGGGCCCGGGGCCTACCAGCGCCCGCCCCAGCAGCTCCGACGGCCCCAGCAGGCTATCGTGCAGCACGGAGAACTCGAGCGTGCAGCGCGGCAGCGCGTCACGTGACACGTCGAAGGTGAGCGCCTCGTTGAACACCGGCGACACCGTGTTGCGGTGCACGCCCGTCTTCTTCTTCTTGACGCGCTTGCCGTTTTGCAGCAGCGACACGCGCACGAACGGGTCTGCAACGCACAACGCACCGTTCATTTGGATTTCAATCTTGGAATTAAACAAAAATAGAGGAACTACTTGGCTGTCTGGGGGATGTCGCGTTCTAGGAGCAGGTGCTATCGTTTGGCATCCATTCTGCTACCTTCCTCATGCCGTGGTTGCAGAATTGTGGCTGAAATGTTAGCATCTGTGCCTAGAATGCGGCGTCATCCGGAGAGCCAAGTAGTTACCGACTCCGACTTCTGAACTCCACGGTCTCGTAAAAACAACAACAAAAAAACAAACAAACAATTTCATAAAATCTCACGTGACCAAATTCCAAGTATATCAATTATAATTAACAAACAAAAATACTGTTTATTCTGCAAACTCTTTGGTTTTGTACGCACTAATTGAGAACACAGCAATATCTTATTGCATTAAAATACGTTATTGAATTCACACATTTTAATTCAAATTGGAAAAAAATATTTTCCTCATGACGGATCTCTGTTCCTGTTTATTTTCCTCTAGGGAGCCAAACATTGTGTTAAAAATGGCGTTTCTCCTCTCTTAAAAGTGTCTGAAGATCGCTCCTAATATTTTGAACTGTAAGACTGAATTTGAATTCTTGCCCTTCCTGAAAGAATTGAAGTTGATCTTGAAGGTACGTCACTCTGGAAATAAGCTCCTCAATTATACCATTATTACAAAAAGTACGTGTGTGTGACACAGTTATTTCAAAATGTGTAGCTCACATGTAGGAAATTCACTGTCTCACACTGAAGTTCTCTCTATTCATTTTAATATTCATTAAGCACTATGTCGATAGTCCATTCATGGCATATTCCCTAAGTATACAATGGAAGTTTTGTCACCGGCACAAACTCTTTGTTAAAGCCTAGCAGATATTTTGAATAAAAATATTCACTAATACATTTTACTGACAAATCTTGAAGTTCTTCTAGGTCTGAGACCAAATTTTCGAAAATTTATTTTAATTAAGAGAGGTTTTTAACTGTCTAAAGCAAACAGAAGCCAAACAGTAAGAATTTCACGTGGTGGCATCAGAATCTACTCATGGAAAATTTCGCCTTGTTTTATACGAATGTAGCGACATAATGTCTATGTTCGAGTCAACATTTTGTTAGAAACAGCTTGTTGCATTGAAAAGAATAAAATCAGAGAAAGAACCCAACTTCAGGACTCGACATCAAAGTGCGTTCTACCCAACGCAGCAACCCAAGAACTGAGGCCTTACACCAGCTATTAGCTCCTTTTTAAGAAAAAGAGGTTGAAGTATCACATTAACAAAATGTTTTAAAATTGAACTGAAATGCTTTCTGTTAGACTTCTGCGCACTGCCATTAACTCTTCAACTTCTTGCTTCGGCAACACTGAATGGGCCAACTGGCAGTCCCGACAGAAATTTCGCCAGACGCCGGCTAGGAGGGCCGACGGCTCTCTCTTTGTCTCTCTCTTTTCCTTTCTTTCTTTTTCTCTCTTTCTTTCTCTTCCTCTCTCTCTGTTAATGCATTGGCTCACGGGCGCCCGCGGCCGACAAGCAGCGGTGCTCGGAAGGGAAGCCTACTGCACGATGTGAACTACAGCAAGTTCCACAATTAAACATTTATAAAAAAAAAAGTATTTTAGAAACTAGGTCCCTCGGTGTCTCCCTTGGTCCCTAGGAAGAAAACGCGGCGGTCTCATGGAGCCAAATACAGTTTCGAGTGTTGAGCGGCAATGAGGGAGCAAATTCGAAAAAGCCCAACAAAACATTGACGAGCGGGGACCAATGGACACTTTTTGGAGACTGAGCAATACACGAAAGGTGCATTGATAATTTTCATATCAACAATATATATTTGCTTCCTTTACAGTTTCAGAGTAGACGTTGCGTGCGAGAATGAAACTTACCTGAGGAGGAGCGTGTGTCGTCGACGACGCGCAGGTTGCGCCCCTTGAGGACGACGACGGTGAGGCGCTCGGCGGACGGCAGGTAGCACAGCGACACCATCAGGTCGCCCAGCTCAGCCTGCGCGCAACCAAGCCACAGTTTTAGCCTCAAATCCAACCCCGCTGCAGTCCCTGCTTCAAACCCAGCCCCAGTCCCAGTCTCAGCTCGTCTCAACTCCAGCCTCAACCTCAGCCTCAATGCCAGCCTCAACTCCAGATCCAACCCCAGCCCCAGGCCCAGCCTCAGCTCCAGATCCAGCCCCAGCTTCAGCTCCAGCTCCAGCACCAGCTCCAGCCTCAGCCTCAGCCTCACAGTCCCCAAAATCTCTTTAGCTCCAGCCGCAGCCCCACATTCCTCAAGCTTCCTAGCATCAGCTCCAGCCGCAGCCCTAGTCTCAGTCCTAGTCCCACCCCCAGCCGCAGCTCCAGGCCCAGCCCCAGCCCCATCTTCAGCCACAGAGCTTCAGACATACAGCTCCCTAGGCTCCCAGCACCAGCCTGTCGCCGCTGGCTATCACGCGGCCCGGCCATTTGCCTCAGTGAGGATGCAAATAGTTTGATTGATTAATTGGTTGATTGGTGACTCGGGGAGTGTCAACTGCTAAGGTCGTTAGGCCTCTAAGTATAGTGCATGTTTTTATGGTGGGTGGTGATAAGAGAATTTCTCCCGCTGGATGGCAAGCTCAGGTACCGACCTACCGATCGTAAAGCGGGGTTTTCCATTACCAGGTATTTCCCCCAGCGAGGAACCGCCCTAACCGGGACAAGCTCTCAGCTCCTGACTGGTCTAACAACATGTGAAATGGTGTAGTAGTTGTGAGTATGTAAAGGGACAAAATGGGCAAGAATCAGGAAGGGAAATTCGTGCATGGTTCATATTGTGGCCCATTTGTTAAAGTCACTGTGCCCTCAGGTATTCTGTGTATTGGTAGGAGAAACCTCGAATCTACCGATCAGAGCCGATCCTTGTGTGCATATTGTGCTGTAAGTACTGAAATAGTTACATTTACTCATGATTGTAGCATCTGTAAAAATAAAAATAACTATTTTTTCTGACTATCGAAATAAATGTATATATGCACCACAGGTGCATCGTTTTCCAAGTTACATCTGAAGTGTTATTAGGGGAGAAATTGCAATATTATGACATTATGTGACTACTTTAAATAAGGCCCAAAAATATCTGATGTTGCAGCTGCTCTAGTTTTCCTTGTTTCTAAGTATACATTGGAGAAAATAAAAATCGTATTGGAAAAAACATGATTTGTTAATGAACGAAAATGCACTACACTACCACACATGCCGGGAGACCGGTCGAGAGCTTAAAGCTTGTCCCGGCTGGGGCGGTGCCCCGCTGGTGGGAGATACCTGGTTGGGGATAACCCCGCTAACCGACTGTAGATCGTCGCCTGATGTCGCCATCCAGCGGGGGAAAGATCACGATCACCGCCCCCCCGAGCAAAACATGCGGTACACTTACGGGACAAATGACCCTGTTATTTGACGTACCCAGAACCACTAAACAATGAATTAATGAAGGAAAAGTGTGTCGCATTCCAGTATTCACACATCTGGAGATGAAGATTTTTTCCCAGCGCGCACATTGAACGCGAAGTGTTTATGCGGGCGCGGGGGCGCACCTTGGAGTCCTGCTCGGAGCACGGCCCCAGCGCCTTCCACAGCGTGAGGCGCTCGGTGAGGTCGAGGCGCGCCAGCGGCAGCTGCACGCCGCCGATGCTGTGGTGGCGCGAGTACGCGTCGAAGTCGTACAGCAGCAGTTCCAGCGTGCGCCGCGACAGCGCCCCCGGCGCCACCTCGAACACGAAGTCCTCGTCGAACACTGCGACAGGCGAGGGAAGGACGTGGTTTTATTACCACACCGACACCGATTATTTTGGTTCCTTGGAATTCGCGTTCGCGAGGATTTACTGTACTACAGAATCACTAACAAAATGAAGCCCGGAGTTAATTCTTAACTCTAGTGACTCTCAAGATAAAGTGATCAAGTTATGCAAAGATATATATATATATATATATATATATATATATATATATATATATATATATATATATTCATCAAAATTTAATTTAAAAGCATACTAGCGTTGTAAATTGTAACTGTAGTACACAATTGTACGCTGTGACCTACTGAAGTATGAGTGTTTGAGTAAATATATTAATTGTAATCAATCTGAATGTCTGTAACTGGTTATTAAATACACAAAACTTACATATATTAATAATTCAAAAATTGACCAAGCAACGTGTTAAGGTGAAACAATATGTTAACTGAGATCAAAATATGTTAAATCTAAGTATTACACCCATATCTGTACTATCTATTAACTAAAAATACTGTAAATTTACTATTGTTAAATCAATGTACCAGTTTTGAGTCGCTAATGACCTCAGATGTCGATGCTACTATAAATAAATGAAAAACAGGGAACATCAACTACGACTGACTTTCTAAGCGGGTTTCTTGAGGTAATTTAGTACTAAAAATCCATTGAAGATATAGAAAAGACATATCCTTAGGTAGGGTAGTCTGACTACATGATCGTTTCTCCATCAAACCTCAGAAAAGTATACATTGCTTTTTTATTATAATCAAATAAAAATGACATTAATTTATTATTTATTATGTAATAGTAACTGAGAATGATTTATTTGCAAATAAAAGTCAACACATATTCTTTTTAATAAACAACTTAAGAAATTAAATATACTAAATTAGGGAGGAACAAGAAAATAAGAATAATAATGACCACGAAAAGTCAGCGAGAGGAAGAATGAAGGAGATCGCTACGACGACAGAGGAGAAAATTATTGACAATATAAAGGGGTCAGGATCAAAAAGAGCAATGGTGAACTTCAATTGTTCCAACAAAACTCTATGCCATGAGGAGAGGAAGAGAAGAATAAACCGGGGAACATTTATTACTGTATGTATGGTAATGTAAGTGACGAAAGGAGGGTTGCGAATGTTGAGGAAAAGTATTAAATAATATTAATGGGAGAAAGATGAAGAGACAGGGAGAAAAGAGATGTAGACAGAAGAGAAGTATACATGGAAGAAAGAGACAATAGAGACAATACAAAAAACAAGACTTAGGACACAAAGAAAAGCGAGAAAAAACAAAAAAAAAACCAAAAAAGAAAAAGAAGAGAAAAGACAAACACGAGAAGAGAGAGAACAGAGAAGAGAAGACCAAACAAAGAAAAACTTAGAGAAAGACAGAAAGAGAACCACCACATGAGAGACTTTTGACAAGAAGATAGAACAGAAGAGAGAAAGAACACGAAAAAGAAGCCAAGAGAAGAGAGAATGAACAGAAGATAAAAAGAGAACAAACAAAGAGAGCAGCACAGATTAAGAAAAAACGACAAGAGCAGAGAACCAGAGAGAGGCCAGAAACAAGACAACAAGAAAGACGAGAGAAGAGCTTATGATGAAAAAAAGAAGGAATACAAGGCTAGAGATATGAAATGAAAGACCAGCACGCGACAAGAGTAAACTCAACAGTCTCTACAGCTACGCATTCTAGCAATCCTAATCCTTAACCTAGAAATTAAAAAAACAACCAAAGAGTAAGCTAGGAGACACGCAATTACGGAAGACAGAGAAGAGCTAAAGAGAGATAATGACGCCCTAGACCGCTATCGTGTGGAAAAATGCGGTTCTGCCAAACGTATGGAAAGCAGGAATACAGAACACGGGCACAGAGCACAAGCACGGAATCTT